AGAAGTGGGACCTCCGTATATACAGGTATTTGTTCCCTTTTTGCCTATTGCCCTTAATCTCCCCAAATATCAACCAGAATCAAGGCAATTCGGCTAACAGGCTGGAGATCACTCAAAATTACAACTGCTCTTCAGGTAGCAGAGATCAGTTCCTCTGGAGAAAATGGTGGACTCTGTGTCATTATACCCTGCTGAGGTTGCCACAGCAAATTGATGCTGAGTGCCCAAGGCCTTGGCACTCTCCCAGAGACTCTTTCTAGAGCTCGTTGTTTTTAGAGCTCGTTGTATTTATTTCCACAATGGGCCTTATTCCTAGTCACTAATAAAGCAGAGCTGATCACTAAGCTTTGGGTCGGTCCATCCATGGAACCCAGTATTTAACAGACTATGAAGCTTGGCACGAAGCTCAGGCACAGTAACAATACATAACATCCCCATAAACTGGGATTCTGCATTGGGATGAAATCATAATTTAGAATCCTTATTGTAGAGAGTAAGCAAAAATCCCCACCTGTGCCATGGAAACTCACTGGGTGACCTTGGGCCAGTCACATGCTCTCAGCCTAACCTACCTCGGAGGGTTGCTGTGAGGATGCAATGGAGGAGGAGAAAATGATGTGAGCCACTTTGGGAACCCATTTGGGGAGAAAGGCAGGGTATAAATGAATAAAATAAGATAAAAAGATGGGCATAATTAGACAATGATTAAACCAGGAAGTTTTTAATATTGCTCTGTGCGTACCAGAAGGAGGAAGGTAGGATGAGGAGAACATGTGACCATGACATACAAATTACAGTTTATTGTGACATCTGAATTAAAACGTTTGCCTTAAAATCCACAGATTTTTCCTCCCTATTGATTTTTATTTAGTTAATTATAGTGCCCATCCTAAGAGTTACACCCTTCGAAGCACATTGGCTTTAATGGAATTAAAAGGGTGTATCTCTGTTTAGGATGGCAATGTTTGTTGACTAAAATTGTGACATTTTGAGGGATTAGTCCAGACACAGGCATTTTAAAATCCATTGGTAATAAATAACTTTCAACTTGCAGCCACTTTGGCACTTGCACAGTCCTCAAATAAAACCTTTTTGGTAACAGAAAAGAGGCACTCTATGGTCATGGCTGCATGACAGTGCAACCCTATGCTGAGTTACTCCAGTCCAAGCCAATTGCTTTCAGTGGGTTTAGAGAGGAGTAATTCTGCATAGGTCTGTACTGTAAACTGGTTTCTTGTCAAACGCACTCTGTCAGTCCCCTTACTCACTCAGTCTATACACATGTACATTCGGATGTATCCTCTCCCCTCTTTTTAATGATGTGCCTTTTAACAATTAGAGCTGGTGGCAGGCAGGTGACTGGAGATGGCAGCAGTGAGAAGGCAGTGTGAACATGTAAATGGACTCATCTAAATTTATTTGGATGCAGCTGAACAGCTTGTTGAATGATTGACTCCCTGATTGTGAGTAGCAAATAGGACCTGATACAAATTGATGGCTGCTGAATCATACTTAGTTACACATACAGAAAGACAAGCTTGTGCAAAAGAAGAGGTTCTATAACAGAAGCTTCAGTTATCCCACTGTATGAATCCGGAACAACAAAAAGTTAATTTCCTGTTCCATGGGAGATGCAACAGGCTACTCAGGCAGGTTCTTTGGAAAAAGTGCAGAAAAGGGCAACTCGAATGTTAAAAGGGTTGGAACACTTTCCCTATGAGGAAAGGTTAAGGCGCTTAGGGCTCTTTAGCTTGGAGAAACGACGACTGAGGGGAGACATGATTGAGGTTTATAAGATTATGCATGGGAAAGAGCAGGTAGAGAAAGAGGTACTTTTCTCCCTTTCTCACAATACAAGAACCCGTGGGCACTCCATGAAATTGCTGAGCGGTCGGGTTAGAACGGATAAGAGGAAGTACTTCTTCACCCAAAGAGTGATTAACACTTGGAATTCACTGCCACAGGAAGTGGTGGCGGCTACAAGCATGGACGGCTTCAAAAGGGAATTAGATAAGCATATGGAGCAGAGGTCCATCAGTGGCTATTAGCCACAAGGTATAGATAGGGACTCTGGGGCAAGTGATGCTCTGTCATCTTGGTGCTTGGGGGGGTCAACAGTGGGAGAGCTTCTAATGTCCTGGCCCCACTGGTGGACCTCCTGATGGCACTGGTATTTCTGGCCACTGTGTGATACAGAGTGTTGGACTGGATGGGCCTTTGGCCTGATCCAACATTGGCATCTCTTATGTTCTTATGTTCTTATGTTCTTAGACTTGTCAGAGAGATGTGAATGGGCTGTGTTCTGGATCTTTCTTGCAAACTAGGATCAAACCATTGGCAGAGTTTAAACTTGCAGAGGAACGAAGCACCAACTGTTTAAAGAAAATTAATAAACCGATGGAACAGAGGTGAAGGAGACAGGCTTGACTAACTGCTGTGAGAGACAGGAACAAAGAGGGGAGGGCTTAGCTGGAGCAGGAAGTCTCCAAAGAGCCAATTAGGAGACAGGAAGGACATAATTTGAAATTGTGGGAAGTCCCATGCAACTCCACCCACTTCCCCAAACAACTACCAATGATAGGTCATTGTCAGAACCATTAATTCCTCATTGGCCACCTCCAGAGTCCTGGTGGGTTATTGTTCTAGAACTCTAAGTTCAGCAAGTCTCTGGTAGAAACAGTCCTGGAATGTTCCAGTCCCAATACATAACACCCCTCCCCCCTATGTTCCAAAGCACCTTAACACACATAGTTCTGAAGGTACACTGGCTTGTGCCTTTCCCGGTAAGACCGTCTAGGCTCGATCGGTGGTGGTGAAGTCACAGGAGTCATGCCTGGGGTCACTGAAGTAGCACTGGGGAATGATGGCAATGTAGGAACAGAGTCCAGGGGCTCCGAAACAGTCTGTATGGGTGTGGGCAACTCCATGCGGTCGGAATCTCTGGCACATGGCGCATCACACTCAAAGCTGTGCTCTGGCAGTGGTGGTAGTGGCTCCGGGTGGCTGGCTTCCACAATGGCTGGTGCTGGCTCAGCTACCTCCAGCAAGAGATGGCAGCAAAGCTGGTTGATGTGCCTGCACAGGATCTGTCCATCATCCGTGGAGACCTCGTACAACACTGGACTGGTGAACCTGATGATCCTTGCGTGAATCCACACAGGGCCGCTAGAGTAGTTCTGAGCGTAGATGGGGTTGCCTGGGAAGAACCCTCTGGACACTTCTTGGCCCTCCGAAAATGGGCGGCTCTCTGGCGCTTGATCCAGGTGCAGCTGGTGTAACCGGGTTGTGAGGCGCTAGCCAATAAGGAGCTCTGCTGAGCTGTGGCCAGTGGTGGATCTTGGAGTTGCCCGGTGAACTAAGAGAAAAGTTGCCAACCGGTGCCCTGGATGAGCCACCTGAGGGAGTCCTTGGTGGTTCACACCATCCTTTCTGCTTGTCCGTTGGTGGCCGGATGGAATGGTGCAGACCAGATGTGGTGGATCAGGTAGTAGCCCAAGAATTCCTGAAACTCTCTCGACGTAAAAGCAGTCCCATTGTCCATCACGATCATGTAGGGTAGGCCATGCATGCAGAAAATTCGGGTGAGGGCCTGGATGGACACCTAGGAGGAGGTGGAGGCAACAGGAATAGCCTCCAGTCATTTGGTGTAGGAGTCCACCAATACAAAGAATACCTAGCCTTGAAAGGGGCCAGCAAAGTCTAGGTGCAACCAAGGACCATGAGGTGTGGGTAGACTCCCACTGCTGTATGGGAGCTTGGGGTGGCTCTGGTTGGGTATTCTGGCAGGCCTGGCAGTGGTTGACCCAGGCCTCAATCTCTCCGTCGATCCCTGGCCACCACATGTAGCTGCAGGCGAGAGCTTTCATCTGAACGATCCCCGGATGTGTCTCATCTAGGGCCAATAAGACTCGCTGGTGCAGGGGGGTAGGTACCATGACTCAGCTTCCCCAGAGCAGGTACCTCTTTTGTGCAGAGAGTTCATCCTGGCAAGATGAGAAAATCCGGATGAGTGGGCCATCCCCTCCACACCCAATCCCAAACGTGGGAGAGGATGCGGTCCTTGGCGGAGTGGCGGACAACGTCTGCAGCATGGATAGGCTAGTCAGGGAGTTCCTCAATGTGTGTGCGGGAGCCGGGTCAGAGTCAATGGAACACAGTGGCAGGTGGCTGAGGGTGTCAGCGTGTCCCATTGCCTGCCCTGGGCGGTACTGAAGGCTGTACTGGTAGCCGGCAAGGAAGATTGACCAGTGCAAGACCCATGGTGACAGCATTTGTGGTGTCTGGCGGTCTGGAGCGAAGAGGCCCAGCAGCAGCTTGTCGTCTGTTAACAATGGTGAAGGGCCGGCCATACAGGAAGTCATGGAACTTCTTCACCCCCGCCACAGTCACCAAACCCTCCTTGTCTATCTGTGTATAGTTGCGCTCAGCAGACGACAATGTGCGGGAGTGGTATGCCACTGGGACCTCCCGGTTGTCAGGCAGCTTGTGCCCCAGTACGGTACCAACTCCATAAGGGGAGACATCGCAGGCTAGGATGACAGGCAACTGTTTCATCGAAGTGGGTCAGGACTGAATTGGATACCAGCAGATCCTTGACCACCTGGAAAGCGTTGGCTTGCCTTCAGCCCCAGACTCAGGGAGCCTTTTTCTCCAGTCAGTGGAGGGGCTCTGCGAATGCTGCCTTGTGTGGCAGGATGGCATGATAGAAGTTCAAAAGGCTGAGGAACGCCTGAAGCCTTGGATTTGGGCGCAGGGGCTTCGCTGATAGCCTTGACTTTGTCTTCTGCTGGGTGGATGCCCTCTGTGTCCACCGAGAATCCAAGGAAGTTGAGGTGGTGGATACCCAGGAGACACTTTCCCCACTTTACCTTCAACCTGGTGGACTGGAAAGGCTGAAGGATGGCATGCATACCATTGACAGTCCTCTTCCGTGGGGACGGCAATCAGAACATCATTGAAAAATGGTGTGACTCCAGGGATCCCTTTAAGAACAGAGTCCATTAGGTTTGGAAGATCCCGGGAGCCACAGTGACCCCAAACTGCAGCCGTTGAACCCAGAAAGCGCGCCAGTGTGTCACTATGGTTTGGGCCTCAGCCGTGGCATCATCTACTAGCAACTGCTGGTAGGCCTGTGCTAAGTCCAGTTTCCCCAAAATTTTCACGCCAGACAGTGTGACCAGGACATGGCTGATGACCGGCACCGGGTAGGCATGGTCCTGCAGCGCCTTATTAATAGTGCATTTGTAGTCCGCACAAATGCAGACATCCCCATTGGGTTTAATAGGAGTGACTATTGGGGTCTCCCAAAGCGCGTGGGGGACTGGCTCCAGAATCCCTTGGGCTGCCAAGTGATCTAACTCCTCCTCAGTTTTGGGTTTCAGTGCAAAAGGGATGCACCGTGCCTTGAGTTTTATGGGCTGCACCTCTGGGTTGAGCTGGAGTGAGACGGGGGGTCGGTGTAACAGCCAAGCATTCCCTCAAAAACAGATGGAAACTCATCACACACACCCCGGAAATCCCTTCGTTCATTGTGGTTCATCCCCATTACCATGAACCCCAAGGGTGCGAACCATGCCAGCCATAACAAACTTGGCCACCGGCCCTCAACTACTAATAAGGCCAACAAACCGTTGAATTGCTGGTACTTAACCTGGAACTTGCCCACCCATTTCACGGCTACCACGTTCTGTTGAAAGTCTCTGAGCTCTCTTTTATTAGTGATTCAGCAGAACAAAAAGCGAAAAGCCAGGGCAACTGCTCTGTTTAAATAGCATGCAACTCCACCCACTTCCCCAAACAACTACCAACAATAGGCCATTGTCAGAACCATTAATTCCTCATTGGCCACCTCCAGAGTCCTGGTGGGCTCTAAGCTCAGCCAGTCTCTGGTAGAAACAGTCCTGGAATGTTCAGTCCCTATACAGAACATCCCTAATCTAGCTAATGCTAAACAGCAGTCCTTCAGCTGTCCCCAAAGGCTGTTCTTCTGATCTTCTTCAAGTAGGTGCACTATAGACCTTGTGTATTCCAACACAAACTAGGAGCAGCTAGTTATCGAACCATGTAATGGAGACATAGGCCTCTCACCAACTAAGGATCTCCGCAGGATTTCAAAATCTATTCTGAAGTGTCTCCCATTTCCTGGAGCTTTCAAGAGAACTGATACCTAGGTGGAAAGAGAAAAGAAAAAATCTCAACAATAAAAAGGGTGTCAAGCTTGGCCCTCTGTTTTAAACCTCAGTGCTGCACCTTGCAAGCACTTTCATTTACCCACTCTGAAACACTTTTTTCTTAACTTGCCAAATGGAAGCCTCTATGTCCACTCTGTGATGCTACTTTTATTTGCTTTTCTTGGGGCGCTGAATCTCTATCTGCTTTGCCCTGCTGTCTGCCATCTTAGGATGCAGATGATTAAACCACTCACAGGTACCCATCAGACTATTCTGATCTGTTCTGATGTCAGCAGATATGAACCGCAAGTGTCTCAGTGAAAGTAACTAACTAGTTATAACTATCAAAACCTTAGTATAAATTATTTGGTATCCATGGGCTTTAACACATCATTTTGTCAGATAATGCTTTTGCAGTTACCAGTGAAGAGACTGAAGAGTCTTTCAATACCAATGCGACTAAACATCATTTCAGCACTGCACCAACCATCTACAAATGAATGAGCAGAAGGAGACCAGAGACGTCATGGAAGCAATTTGCAAGCACAGGTTTGTGAACAAATGTCTTGTGCACACTATATACCAGTGTGGGTAGATCCCCAACTAAAATTGTGTTAGGTTAACCTGTTTGTATCTGACGGGACTTTCTGAAACCCAAAATACACAGGCAGGCGGTTATGTATCGCATGTAATTCCCTGCACATATCATGTAGTAAATCAGAATCTGCGCTCTGTGGTATTGCCAGCATTATTTTCACTGGGGCTGCTTCTGTGCTCCTTAACAGCAACAAGACTGGCAATAATTTAGGAGCAAAACTTTTCTTGGCATGGTGTTAGGGCCAGTGACAGCATTCCCTGAGGTGGGACAGCTACCGGGGTAATGGACTCCATGTGGTACTCACTGCCACTCACCCCACCACCTCTTCTTCCCCAGTCCACTTGTTTGTGTGCTTTTGTCACTGACATTCTTGGCTCCACATGCTGTCCAGCATTGGATATAGAAGAAGAGATTGGATTTATACCCCGCCCTTTACTCAGAGTGGCTTACAAACTCCTTTCCTTTCCCCTCCCCAAAGCCCTGTGAGGTAGGTGGGGCTGAGAGAGCTCTTTCAAGAACTGCTCTTTTCAAGAACAGTTCTGACAGAACTATGGCTTGCCCAAGGTCATCCAGCAGCTGCAAGTGGGGGAGTGGGGAACCGAACCCGGTTCTCCCAGATTAGAGTCTGTGCACAGATTAGAGTCTGCGCTTTCTGCCCAGGCCCCCCCCCCAAAAAAAACTTGGAACCAGCTCTAGTGTTAGAAATTGGGGAGGGGGACTTCAGAGGCTGTACATTACAGGCTGTCAAACTGCTATTAAAGGCATAAGAGCAGAGTCTTTAAAAAAATTGGCAATCCTAATGCCAAGTTGCTGCATGACTACAGCTGAGACTGCTCTCTTCCCCTTCTGCAGTATGGATGTGTTCCAATTAGTAATAATAAAGGCTTTGGGGGGAGGGAGAGATTCTTAAAAGAAATAAAAATAGCCATATGGGAAGATAGAAAGGAAACCAGCAGGATGGTGAAACCTGAGGAGCATTTTCAATTACCTTTTAATGTGATTTGGGCAAGAAAGTTGAAAAGTTTGATCAGGGGCTAATTAAGCATAAACATACATTAACTGTTAGGGGTTAGAGACTGCATAAATCAAGCCATCTTGGAGAATTACTGCAGGAAGCAGTGAAAATGACTAGTTGTCTTTTTTGTAGTTATTTTCAAATAGCACATTTTCTCAGCAGTTCTCCAAGGGAGAATATCAAAGCATGACATTGAAACAGCACCAGTCTCTATATTCTCCTGAACCGTATTTCCCTTCCTTAATTGGCTCCTGCCTGCTTTAATAGCTTCATAAATGTTGCAAGGGAATAATTAAATTGTACATCAGTTGAAGCTGAAGACAGCACCAAGCTAGGAGGGATTTGCAAGCAGGCAGGAGAAGAGAGAGCAATGACGAAGTGTCCCAGTGACATTTTAGAGAACTTGAGAACGAAGTGCCTGCAGAATGAGATAAATAACAGATGTGCCAGTGGCAAATCTTGCCCCTATCTCTCTCCAGCTGCAGGAGCTTTCTTGGCAGAGGAGCTGGCATGGTGACATGATGCAGGACATAATCAATCCAGCTAGATCATAACCATCTATTGTCACCACTGTGGTGCTCTGGAAAAACCAAATCCCCCAAAGCCCGCCCCTCTGTTTATCAGCCATGTCACTGCTCCATTATTTTGGACTAGAACAGGAGGAGGTAATGGTGAATAGGTGCCCCCAAAGCACATGAAAAGCCCCATAAGACTTGTGCTGGATCCCAGGGCTGCTTCTCACGGTTATTTTCACCACTTAATGTTCTCTGTGGGATTGCCCCAACACTTACAATTGGTTAGGGACCCAGTGTGACAATCGGAACCCATTTGACTTGGGTGACTTCTAAGCAGACTGGAGAGCCCCAGAAACCCTTCATTAGTTATTTATTGATGAATGTAGGTTGGATTTTGTCTTAAGTTCCTCTTGCCTGTTTTATGGAGATAATAGATCTTTTTGTTTCATTGATTTAATTCCATACACTTGTTCTCTGAGGGACCACTTCTTCCTGTATTATTCTTAGAAACTACTAATTTCCCCTGTAGGGTCTTCTTTCTATCCCTTCTTTGGGGGAAGATGGATCAGCTGCAGCATGTGCAGAGGATTTTTTCTGTGGCAGCCCCATCTCTTTGGAATGGGCTGCCTCACGAGGGTAGAGCTGCACCATCTCTAATCTCTTTTAGGAAAGTTTGTAAAGCAGAGCTATTCAACAGAACTTGTAGTTGACAGTATTAGATTTATCTTACCAGCCCAGTCAGTATGATTTTGGTGCTTCTAACTCACATACTGGGACTGTGTGATGCATTATCCTCTCGAAAAATGTAATCACCATTTTGTGTAAACAGGGCAACATATATTTTCTAGCTTCAGTAGACACAAATGCATACCCAGTAAGAATCTAGGTTTTTGATCATGTGTACCAAAGCTAGAAAATATGCATTGCCCTATTCATTAAAAAAATGGCAGCCATATTTATTGAGAGGATTGCACATAGCACACTTTCCTGGTATTCAAGGTAGGAACACCCAAATTATCATGACTGAAACGGGTCTCCTGATGGCTGCTTTCATGGTTTCATATGGCTCTATGGTATGCTATATGACATCAATGCTGGAAGCTACTTTGAGTGGAAAGGAAAGCAGTATAAAATACTGCAAAGGAAAAAAATAGAACACAATCAAAAAGACCCCTTCCCTTTCTTCAAGCTTCACTTTTAAAATAAAAAATGTGGTCAAGGATGGTGGCACGTTTCCTAACTTGCTGAACTCCTGTCCCCACATTTATTTATTTATTTTTTGATGCATGATAACCTGAGGCAGGGAAAATTGTCCAGGTTTGCAGTGCAGATGGTGCGGAATGGAGAGATGATACAGTTCAGAAAGGGCAAATCAGCTATGCATTACAGATGCCTCAGATCAGCATTGGTTCAGAATAAACAAGCGACCACAGCCATACCCAGAGGCAGAAGCTCTTGCAGTATTTAATAGTGTTTTATCTTCTTCAGCCTTCCAATTTTGCATGGGAACTCTCAGAAACTTACATTTTCCTGTGTTTTTGCATATGGGAAATATGGAATTTTAATATTTGAGCTTCCAGGCTAGTTTCTCAAGATGCAAATGAAACACTTCAGGATTTATATTGAAGACTTCAGCTCTGCTAATAATACATTTGAGAGCGCCTATGGGCAAATGAGAAGTAATTATTTTTAACAATAACTGTCTCATTACTATACACGGACACATGAAGCTGCCTTATACTGAATCAGACCCTTGGTCCATCAATGCCGGTATTGTCTACTCAGTCTGGCAGCAGCTCTCCAGGGTCTCAGGCAGAGGTCTTTCACATCACCTACTGCCTGGTCCTTTTAATTGGAGGTGCTGGGGAATGAACCTGGGATCTTCTCCATGTCAAGCAGGAGCTCTACTGCTGAGCCAGAGCCTCTCCCTAATACCACATTCATATTAGTATTAATCTATGTTTCCCAAAAGAGCAGCGACGTGGGCAAACTGCTGCAGTATAGCAGTTATGGGTATGAGCTATGAGCTGCAAATCACAGGCTCACCTCTCAGCTTAACCAAGAACTCATTGGATAGGTGCAAAGATGCCACACTCTCTCAGTTTAACCCTAACACTCTCCTCTCTAAGATGGGAAA